TTTTTTTTAAATAAAATATAAAATTATTATTTATTAGCATTAACAATTTTCAAATAATCATTTAATTTTTTCTGTGAAATCTCAGTTCATGTTTTTTCCAAATAATTTACTTAATTTTGTAATCTGTTTTAATTGATAAAAATGAAAACTTATTTTTTAAATTAAAATACCGGGTTTTTTTTAGCATGTTAATGGAAAATACTATTTTCAAAATAGCTTAATTCACTTTTCCCATTATATCTGAAATATTTCACTTCATATAAAAACTAAAAATAGTTCTCGAAAAGAAATGTTTCCCTAACTAAATTGCGACCATCAAAATAAATTCAGCTAACATATTTCTCCTCCCACTACTACTCTCGTCGGTCTTTTCGTATACACTCGAAACATTTAAATCACAAACGAAGCAAAAGATCTTAGCTGCATAAAAATAACAGATAATAAAACAGCACACGAAGAAGAAAGAAAGAAAAAATAAACTAACATCATTCGCTCAAGCTTTAAGGAATATCAAATTTGGATTTCATTCGCTGCAGCAATTTCCATTCTCATGCATAAATATTTAGTTAGTGTTTGCGTTTGTCGTCCCCCATTGCTTGACGCCGTCTCATCTGATCCGATTTTTGCGCTATGGAGGATGAGACTACGTTTGCCTCCTCCGCCGGGTGCCGCAGATGGCGGTGTCTCATCGCCTGGCCAGCCGTATTGCTGGTTGTCTGTCTGTCTGGCTGGCTGGCTGGTTGTCTGTCTGTCTTCTGGTGAGTGGGTCGTTCGTTTTTTTTTTTTTTTTTTTTTTTTTTTTGCCTGCCTGGGCCGCCGCGTCGGTTGTTTTGTTTATTTACCCAAGTCTTTCGCAAAAGTCTTTCTGGCAACCGTCGCGTTTCGTTTTTCTTTTTTTTTTTCCACAGTCTGTTTATCGTGTGCAAATTGCTGAAGAATCGTAAAACTTAAATACACATATGTCTATGACGATCGAGTTGCGCAGACGACGATCGGATAAGTTGTGTGTGCGATCAAAGCAAAAGCTTGCAATTAGCACAATGGTAAAGTCACAGCCAATTAAGAAATAATTCGCTAGAGTTTCAAAAATTGCATAACAATGTAAATGCCTCATTAGCAGCTTGGCTGATAACACGCCCTCCTCCCCCTGCTAGTTGCTGTGCTGGTGGGTGATGCTACAGCACAAGCATCTGGCAGCTATCCAGCTAAAAAAAAAGAAAACCGCATTGCTCAAATGTAAAGCCAAAATGAACAGAAAAACAAACTGAAACAGAAACATGCCACAAAACTCTTCCAAGCAGCAGCAGCAGTAGCCAGTAAAGCAAAGCAACCTGTTGCCTCGCCTTCAGTGTTCTATCCTATGCCACAAAAGTGGCCAGACAGGTCGTCACTTACAGGCCCGACATTATCATCATGCTCATCAGGAGTAACATCATTCTCACTGAGACGGCTCCAACGATATATGAGCGAGGAAAATGCTACACATTTTGGCTGGCAAATCACGCAAATGAAATGCACAAAATGTGCGCCATTTATATCATGCAGATACAGACACAGACAACCATACACACACACACACACACACATTCACACACAACCACACACAGGCATGTTTCATAGCCAGTTCCCGTGCCGGTGACGTGTGCCACAAGCTACCCAGCAAATGGGAGGCAAAAATATGAGCCAACAGGCCACAGCCAGGCAGGCGGGTGAGCGGGCAAAACTGGCCGCAAAAGACATAGCATGCAATGCACAAGTTGCTGGCAGGCGACTGAGTCAGGTGCAGCCGTTTTCATTCCTGCCAGCTACCCTCCTCCCCCACAACACTTCTCCGCCACCCAACACCACAGCAAACCGTATTCCGGCCTCACTACGCCTCCCGCCACACTCAATTGCGCACTAATTTAGCGCAGCTAGCACTTAATAATTTCTTTTCATAATTGAGTAAAGAAAAAATCTTGTGACGGGATAGCGCGCCGCAGCCCAGCCGAGGTGTGATAGAGATGCCAAGAGATGACACTGGGCAATAGCATCTTAAGTAGCCAACAAATATATACGTAATGGGCAGCAGGTGACGAGGGTTTGACAAGCAATTCGAATGCCAAATGCAATTCTAAATACAAGTTTTATAGCAATTGTCGATTGTTTGTGCTATTGTCAAATGTTTATAATGGACAATAATATAAATAAAATATATATATTTTTTTCGATTTTTATTTATTTTTTTTTTTTTTTATATAAATAAAATAAAAACGAAATTGTAATCCTTTTTTTTACTGAAGTAGGAATAAAGTATTTATTTTTTTAGACTTTTAATTTGTCTGGTATGAATAAAATATATATACAATTTTTTAAATTCTTAATACAATTTTAATTAAAAGTGTCGCAAGTTAATAAAATATCATTTTTGAAATATTTTTTTTCTTTTTACATTAAAAATTATGGTAAATCATTTGAGCATATTTTTATTTATTTATTTAGCCTAATAAACAAAAAATGCCTGATGAATGTTTTATAGTATCAATAGTTGTATATCATTTTTTATGTGATGTTTTTATAACTTTATATTTTATTATGGTACACAAAATTATACATATTGCTACTTAGAATTTATTTGGAATTTTCTAAAGAGTCGCATAAAAATATAAAATATAACTTTATATACATCTGAGTAGAACGGAAATAAAAAATTGTAAAATTTCGGGACTTGTTTATTTAACCTATAAGACTGTAAGCTCAACAACTCTTTGTTGACCTGAGGCGTTCTTGCTTGAGATAAACAAGAAATGCTTAAAGCATTATAGCATCAATAATTTTACGATTGCACCGCGCCAAATGCACTGCAATAATAAATTACCCACACTTGAAAAGCCTTGCGTGGATTGACTTGAAAATGCATTCAGAGAGGCCACAGAAAGATTTATGTATAAGTAGAGAGTAGAGAGTAGAAAGCAGAGCAGAGTAGAGAGCATAGAGTAGAGAGCATAGAGTAGAGTGGGCGGCCGCCTAGAGAGAGCTGACTGAACTGAACAGAGCAGAGCAGAGCAATGTCTGCAATTGTAGGATCTGACACGTCTGATTTAAGTCAGCATGAAATGCTTTGAAGTCCGCACGCGTTAAAAAGCCAAGGTGCACAAATTAGTCGCGTCTACTTGGCAGTAATTGCCACAAGTGCCACTTGAGTAGTGGTGGACACACACACACACACATATATATCGAAATATATATACATATCTATCTATAGGCAATAATGAGATATACATAGTCAATTCAATGGCCACTTTACTCATAGAAAAGGAGATGGCAAATTTGCTGGCTATCAATTTCCAATTGTTGGTCCATTGATGACATTTTGAGTAAAGGACGAAAAACCGATAACTTAATTGGCTTAGTGGTTGCCCAGCAACAGTCTACGACACATATGTTCCATACAAACGCACACGCAAACACGCACACACACACATTCATACACGCATTCATACAGAGGTGGTGGCACAAACAAAAGGCAGCCCAAACCACAAATTACGAAAACCTAATACGTTGGCCGATTAATCAACTGTCTAAATAGCTGTTTTGGAGATTGGGGCTAACTGGGCTGCTCTGGGTTCTTTAACTAATTTATAAGATTTTTATCTGGCCCTATGCCTATGCGCAATGGTTAGAGAGCTTCGTTGGACATTGCCATTGACCCACTCAACGGGCGTGATAATTGCACTATAAAAATGCGCAACTGGGAAAATAAATTAACAGCCTTTTTGCTTATATTCCCAATTAGTGGCCCTCTCGCTCTGTTATGCGAATCAAATAAATCTTAATTAATATGAAAATCGATTACCAAGACATTAATTATTTAAAAGCAGCAGTCAAATAAACACCACCCAACAGCCATTCAGTGGCTAAATAAATAAATAGATACTATGTAGTAGCTGGTATTATGCGGTGGTTCGACTTACGTTTTCCTTCTCGTCGTAGTGCAAACTTACCTGAAAGAAAAATCAAGAGAAAATATATCAATTAATAACATGAATATACGAGCATCAAATTAAAAGAGCTGTGTGTGGGTGAGTGTATGTGCGTCTGTGTTTGTATGTTAGTGTGCCAACCATATATAATTTATGCGCATTGCATAGAATTCAAATTAAAAATATATTAAAAGAACGAAACCATAAATCACAGCAACAATATTTAAATCAATTTTCAACATCATGAGAGCAATGTTTTGTTAATTTATTAGTGTTAAAGGGCAAACAATAAAGCAAAAGAGAAGGCATACATAAAATCGTTTAAGTTTTTTAATAAAAACTGTGAGAATACCCTATAAAATACATTAAAAGACTTGATTTTATGAAATAAAAAAATTAAATAAAAATAATATTAATACAAATTAAATATTAAATAGTCTCATTTTTTTTAAATATTTTAAATAGATATTTATAAAACTTTTAGCTTAAAATACCCAACAATAGGCATCTCAAAACGTGGTATTGCATTTTTATTTGTATAAACAGCTCTTTGAACTCATTTATCTCTCTTTACAGAATATCTACTTTTTTTTTTTTTTTTTGCATGAAGCAAGCAGGCACTCAACCAGCTAACCACAACCACCCACTCGTGTACAACAATGATAAAATGCTAAGGAGACGTCAAGTGGCCATTGTGCGTTACGCTTTTGTCCTGCAGGAAGAAGTCTCATAAGTCATTTCTTCAAGTCAAATAATTCATAATCGATTTGCAGCAGGCAGCAGTAATATGGCATAGCACGACACAGCTACCTATCAGGGGCTGGATGGAGGTTTGCGTTGGGCAAACAAAACGCGCATAAACGAGCGCTCGCCGCGGGACAAGTTCGTTAGGCCAGGCCAGGCGAGGCAAAGCCAGGCCAGGAAAAGTTGCTCCAACATTTACCTATGAAAATCAAAGTGCGCCCTGGGAAACACCTGGGCGCAGGATGACTGACTACAAGACAAACAAAATACGCTCGTTGAATTTCTATTAAGCCAACTAACTCAAAAGTAATTGCTAGCTAGCAGCATAGCTGAGTGGCAAGTAGCAATTGCACGCAGCCCCTACCTCACTCTCTCTCAGTGTCGCCCTCTCTCTCTCTCTCTCTTCCTCTCTCTCTCTCTCACTCTTTATTCACTCCCCAGGCAGTGTTTGGTCTCCAGCTGCTGGTCATCAATATGTGCGCGTTAATGGATGCCTAAATAAATGATAACTGCAAATTACGATTCCTGCCAAGGAGCAGAGGTTAGTAGAGTAGCCGCACGTACTGCTGCTAAATACATTTCGCTCAGCTGCAGTTGAGTCCAAATATTTTCACGTGTTCCCAATGCCTCACCAAAGTTGAGTCAAGTTACAAAGTGCTTAGTTTTCCTTTATACATACATACATACATACATACATACATACATACATACATACATACATATATATAACATATTTTTTGTTTTGCAACTAGGTTTTTGGGGATTTTACAGTTTTCTCTTCTCTTTGGTTTAACAAAGTCAGAAGCTTCGAGAGTTAGTGCTCTGCGGTTTGGTATGTGTGTCGGAAGCGGATCATTAATTTTTAATTTTTACATTTTGTTGTACACTTAAGCGAATTTCCTGCGCATACAGCATATTTTACCACGGCCATGGGTAATCAAATGAAAAATGCAACAGTGTTTTAGTTCTCGTTGATACTTTGGCTCAGTGGAGTGAGCGACGAAACAGAAACAAGTTTAAATACTTTGAGTTAATAAGTGCCTGGGAGATTTTCATAATGTTTAGCGCTAACTAAATTATGTGCGAATATGTTTTAAGTATATATAATGAATAGTTGAAAATCTGCCTCCCTCGCAGGATCTATATCTCTTATCTATAATCGCATCTGTCAGCTCATGAATCCGTTTTCATGAATTTACAACTGCAATTCGCAACATTATGTTCAATATTTGTTAATTATGGCATCGAAATGCAATAAAAGCGCTACAAAAAGCAACTATGAGGTATCGAAGTGAGTTGCCATTAGTTCCGGTTGAACTGAAATGCAAGCACAGGTCGCCCAGGTCGTTTAGGTCGTTGCCAGCTGGCGATGGAAAGGCGGTGCTGGTGAAGGGCAGCTCTTTAACAAGGTTAACACAACGCTAAGCAGCTGTCCCTGGCGGGAGCCCAAGCCGGAGCTAAAGCTGGAGCAGGAGCCGGAGCAGGAGCCGGAGCCATGTTCACGTCGCAACCTCAGTGCACTTGAGGCGCAATCGTTCAGCGTGCTGCCAGCAGCCAGCTAGCAGCGTTGCATACAAATTGCTCTTGCACACATACACACACACATGCACACATACACACAGGCATGAGAGTGCACACTAAGAACTGTTAAAAGCCAGGTAAATGTGCCCTGGCATGTAGGTATGTCTTTAATGTGGTTCGCTACACACACCTACAGACAGACACGCACACATACATACACATACACCAGCACACACACACACACCTACATATATGCAATACCTATATAGAAATATTTATAGAGACTCTGTGGCACGTGAGCTTTGGAAATGCGAAATGGACATTGCTTAATACCATATTCTGTGGCATGTGGATGCAGGCTGATTTTATGCAACACCAGGCATCATAATAGCTCATTATGCTTGGGCAAACTTTACCGTTCGTACATATACCCCCGCAAAATTCATTAGCTAAAAGGCAGCACACCAAAATTGAAGAGCATCACATTTGGCTGCTGAGAATGTTATCTTCGCTTTACACAAATCGATACGCTAATTGATTGCCGCAATTGCCGCAATTGATTTAGTCTAGCCCCGTCTAATTGATAGCCACAACGTGCCAAGCACACATCTATCTATATATACAATTTTTCATTGCGTCTATTTTAAATAGCGATATATATATAAATAAATATATATTAAATCGCGCGACGCCCACAGGTGAGCCGCAACATTAACAACTATCGCTCTACGCGATTTAATAGATCACATCGAGCGCATCAATAATCAGCGTAAATTAATTAAGCGTTTTACACTTTATCTATATAAACACACACATATGTGTATCTCAATGTGCATATATGCATACACACATACAGATATATGTATGTATATGTGTTTGTCTACAACTTATACGCATAGATGCTCGCAATTTAGCATGACGTCGCTCTTAAGTTTCACAGGCCATATTTTATGATATACCTACTAAATATACATACGTATATACAATTGTATGTAATGCTCTTGCATTGGGTATTATAAGTTGGTCAACACGTTTGTAACACATTATAGGCTTGTCAATGTTCTCTTTAGAAACAAAACAAAATAAATAACACTATGTATAATATATATATTAAMTCAAGGCAATTAATCTTTCAAATACTATGTTGCTTTAACTAAATTTAGTTTTTCTTTCAACTAGTTGGTCGGAGATTTGATTTATTTGCACTTTCATTAAATATTATATATATTATTAATTTATCTCCGAGGGAATAGACATTTTGCGACACACCAATGTTATTTCTTTTTTCACGTTTGTTTTGTTCCGTTTATTTTTATTGTTGAAAACTTTTACGTCGCGGTTTATTTTCGGGGCGCCCGAAAAAAAGTGCATAACTTGGCCACGCTCCAACGACCCACGCAAATATATGTACATATGTATATGAAAAAATGCCTCGCTGTGAGAATGTTATATTGTCTGTGCATAAAATATTAAAATCCCATTTTTTATGAGCGCCAAGTGGTCAAGTGTACAAATAAAATATACCGAATCTACAAATAACATTTATTTTGCTCTACTATATCAATAAAATAAACGAAGTGCCGCCGCTGCTTTGTCTGTGTGTGTGTTTTTTTTTTTTTTTTTTTTTTTTTTTTGAGTAAAAGAAAATAATGAAAGACAAGACAGACATAGAGATAGAAAGCGAGAAAGAGAGAGAGAGAGAGATGCGCTGTTCGTTCTGTCGGCTTTTAACAGTTCACAAATAGCGCACGGCGCCCTCTTATTAAATATGAAAACCAACACATATACATATACACATACACATATATATCCATTAGACATATATGCAATTTATATAGTTGTCGCATAAATCTTGGACGGGATTAAGCTATATCTGGGCGCTTTAATGTGGCAAATTATTGTGGGCCATTCACAAATCGCTGCTCGATATCAAACAGCAAGCGAAACAACGATATTTCTCTGCATTGTTTATATGCGTAAAATTCCTTGGCTATGTTTCCGGTTATTTTTAAAAATATAAATTAATTCACACGTATTTAATAGGAACACATAAAAAGCATCTTTTATTGGTAGAGCTCTAAGAGATATTGCATCAGTCGTGTTTAACACACATAAGAACAGATGGGGCAAGATTCAACAGTGTCATAGCATTTGTAGTCTTATCAATCGAATTGGTTATTTAATGCATTTGCTTTGTCAGCTAAGTAGCTAATTCGAGATGGTATTAAGTATTATATAAGGAAACAAGTGAAAACATTTTTATCACTTTGAAATGTATAGGCTTAATTGCTGAAAGTCTGTCAAACAATAATACATTATATATAAACATACATTAGTTTTTAGCAATTTAAAAAACGTAGACTGCTTCAAAGAGCTGATATTCCAATCATTGTACTCCATATTCAAAGTGAGGCGCTATGTTTACTCGACTCAACCCAATTCTAGATAGACTTTTATAATACTATTTTTAAAGTGGGACTCAACTCTATCCAGGATAGACTTTCATAATACATTTTACAAAGTAGAATAATGATATTGATGCGTATGTGTTTGCTAGGTAAATGCAAGAAAACAATGAAATAGTAAACTTTTTGTCTAGTGCATACAAGCCAAGTAATTATTGTACATTTGCATTACATTGAAAAAATATATGATTAACTCGTACAGCGGAGGGTGTAAAAAACTGTACTACAAATTTCAAATCTTTAGCTTTTGTGTATTAAAAGATAATAGCGCTTATATGGTAGAAAGGACAGATATAGCTAGATAAACTCAGCCCCTGCTGAGAAAGCCATGCCATCTTCTGCCTGTCCCATACGTTTTCACAAAACCTTTACTCCCTGACTTTCATAAACAAAACATACAAAAGTATATATACAAAATAAATAAAGGTTTTCCCTCAATTTAATCTGGATCGATTAGTGAAAGAGCATTTCACTGGCCTTGCATATTTAATGTCTAACAAACTCAATAACGATAATTAGTAAATCAACTGATTGCAATTCTGAATTAATATTTAGTCGAAAATTCAGTGTTAGATTCACCCCAACATTATTTATTTAGCAAAAATTTGTGTTTTAAATATCAACATGTACATGCGCATGAGTTCTAACCACATCCTTTCCCTCTCCATTTGGTCTGGTCCGGCACACACACATTTCGTCTATGTAACAATTCAATTAATAAAACATTAGCCATTTAGTTTACAAACACACACAACAACTAATAAAAGTTGCATTAGACATGAAGCCGGATCGTAAAAGTGGCAAGTGCACAAATGCCGCTGGCATTAAGTGGGCGCTGCTGACGGAAAGCTGCCACATTAATTTGTAAATTCTGGCCAAGTGGCGTCGTAAATATGAATTATATGCAAATGCAGAAGCTACGGCAAAGCCAAAGCCAAAGGCCGAGCACGCGTAGCATAAATTCATAATTTTTCATTAGCGCGCCCAGATAGACAAGGCGAGAGCCCATTAAAACGTCGCCAACTATTGACTTATGACCAACAAGAAACAGCGTCTTGTCGTGTCGGTTCCAACAAAGCCGCCTAATTAGCAGCTTTGCTATCCAGATACAACAACTAGAAGACACGAACAGGAAGAAACTTACATGAAACGATGAAATGAAATCGTAAATATTATTTTTAGCTTCAAGATGGCCAAATTGGCCATGGCTGAGTCGAAAAGCCACAGACAGTCAAAGCGAAAGATTGGTTCTAGCTGTTGCTCTTTTTGGCGGAAATGCACACAAACACAAATACACACACACACACACACACACACACACACAAAGTGTATCTAAGAGATACATTTAATGCCTGTTTTATGGCCGTGTTAGTTGCGTGGGCGGTTTAATGAACACGCGTCGTATTCGTAATGGACACAAATTGAAACTTTGCTCACTGTTCATTTGCAAACTAATAGAATACAATTGGCATTCATTTGATGTATCTTTAGTATGCTGCGAAATCGTAGCACACAAATATTTGCAATTCAATTGCTGCAGAAAATCAAATCAAACCAAATAAAATAAATTCAAACACACCGACGTATTCAAAGTGTCTATGAGAGATCATCAAATACTCGCAAAAGCCAAATGAATTGAGAAATATGCAGGATATTTGAGTAGCAGCAACAGCAACAAAAACATGTTGCTGCTGCACCAACGACTCGATACAGAATTTGACAACAAACTGAATTTCATGTATACTCTTCAAATGTTTAGCATTCCAAGTTTTCATTCCTTCTTTTTCTGAAATGTTTTCAAAGTGTTTTCTTTTTTTTTTTTCGTCTGCTGTTCAATTGAAGTTCAAATGGTTCACACATAGACTTCAAGAGGTTGCTCTTAAAAACTACTTAGCACTATACAAAATCAATAATTTATTTGAAAATTAACACTTACAGCTTGGTTCATGCTATGGAACTTTTTTGCACCAATAACGAACATAAACTTACCTAAAACGAGAAACAAAAAAAAAGGAGAGGAAAACGAAAAATGAAAAATATATTTTGTTGAACTTCACTTATGCATGGATTAACCGACTTATATAGCTATATATTTTTATATGTATATAAATTCTATTCTAATGCTGTAACTTTCCGTTGTTATAGCTGCTGCCATCCATGTGAGTTGAGCTGCTCTTGTTTATTTGCTCGTATTTATTTCTATTTGATTTTGTTTTGGATTTCTTTTTTTTTTTTTTTTTTTTTTTTTTTTTTTTTTTTTTTTCTTTTTTTTATTTGTCTGGACGTGAGAATAAACAAAAGTTTCCAATTGGAAATTTTTATGCAAGCAAAAGCAGCAGCAAAACAAGCGGAAATCAACAGTTTAACGAATAAGAGTAGTTAGTAAATAAATATTTGAGTAAAATACATGCGCTCATATAAATAATTGATTTAGATTTTATGCAAAACAAATCGAGAAAAGGAATACTAAAGCAACAAATAAATAAAACCTGTAAAATATAAAATATGTTTTAATTGCCAAACTCCAATCAGCAAATAAAAACTTGAACTGGTAGAAAAATTTAGAGTGCACCATGTTTAAATGTAATCAAGTGAAACGAATTTGTAAAAAAAAATTAGCTTATGCAGGCTTAAAAGAAACACAAATATTTCCATTATTTCTGCAACATGGAAAATCCGCCTAAAGGCATTCTCAACATCTGAATCACAAGTTAATTAAAAAAAACAAACAATGTATGCATTTTACTTTGCAATCAAAAAGCATTATAGCCTCTCGCTCTCTCGTACTGCCTCTCTCTCCCTCCCATTTGAAAATCTGCGAAAATCGTATCTGCATATGAACTAACTTTAACACAAATATACAATTCAAACATTGATAGCGTGCGTGTGTGTGTGTGTGCGTGGGTGTAAATTGCGTGTAGCGTGGCAAATAATCGTCCACTATGCAACACACTATCGTTGTTGTTGTTGCTGTTGTTGTTGTTGCTATGACGGTATCGTCGCTAATAAACCGCTTATCTAATTTGTTATAACTTTGTTGTTATTTACCTATTGTGGGCCGACAAACAAAAAGCCAAGCGCACACAAAAGCTTTAAAAAGCCCACTCACACGCCACAGCACACACACCCTCACACACACACAAGCACTCTCTCACTGTCCGCTGCGTTGGTTATCTAAAATCGTTATATGGCATGTTAAAAATCTGTGTAAATTATTATTGATTTTAACGGCAGCCACGTCCATTCGCGCCGCCTAATGAGCGAGGCACCCTTGACAGAAACAACAACAACAACAAAAACCAGAACACAAATTAAGTGCAGTTTATTAGTTGAAATTGATAACAATTTATGACACTGGCCGAACAGTGGCCCGCGTAGCAGCAGACCCTAGATAAAACCCAATTCAAATGCAGTAGAGAAACTTACTTAAGAATTTACCTAAAAAATTGAGTATTACACAAAATGGAGTTACTGAAATACTTTGATATATTAAAACTGAAATATCTACAAGTCTGTTTAGCCAGGTATTTGCTCCAGCCAATCAAAGAATCGTTCCACAGTGCACGGCACCGTGGACAACGGCACAGCACACAAAGAGCGCTCTCAACTGAACGTTGACTTCAACTTTTATGTATGTATGTACAGTAGTATGTCCAAAGTTAACATCAACTGATCAACTGATGTCATCATATCATATATATGCTTTGTCGCTGCTCACATGTGGCCGACCGGCAAAAGCAGTGTTAGTTCATTGTCTGCTTAAGAGCTAAGCACTTCAAGCAACAACAACAACAACAACAACAATAGGAAAATAAACAATAAACTGCGTACTTAACGGCCCTCGGGTATCTTAAATGCTAGAAAGTATTTATCTTGTACATGCTTAGCCAAATCTGTGCGTCTGTTTGGCACAAGTTTTGCATATTTGATGATTTTGCATAGCAATTACCACTGGCCCTAACAGACCGTTGACACTTGGCTGTCATAGTCCGATACTATCGGCAGATCACTGCGAATGGCCCACCCAAAATAGATTGTGTTAAACAATGCAAATGACACGCAGCCCATAAGCTGAGACGAGCTGCTAAACAAGCAGATACTTAGCCGCATATAATGGAGGTATAAATATATACATATATATTTACAATATAATATATGAGAAGGGCACACCACGATGAGCATTTGATGTGACTTTATGGCGGCTGCTGGCACCATGCCCAAATGAAGCGCTCTCGGTGGTGTCACTACTGCAAATGAAATCCAAGTTAAAAATATTCTCAAAAAAAAAAACGAAGAGGAACGCAGCAAATGAAATACCACTGGGCCAGAAATCTCAATTATTTGCAAAACATGTGTCGACTGTAGATGCGCTTCATGTTTGGCAATCCGTCAGATGCGCGTGCTGCTGCGGCTGCGGCTGCGGCTGCGGCTGCTGCTGCTGCTGCCTGATGTTGCTACAACAAAGTGGTTTCCATCTAAGCGACATGCGGCCATAAGTCATCAGCACAGAGCAAGCTAAAGAAACTTAAATTGAATTCTCTTAAGCAGAGCAAAGAAATGATACGCCAACTAAAAGTTGAAAGTACATTTGCCATTCGAGCTGTCAAAGGCGAGTGTGCGACAAATATTTTTATATAAATATTTTAGATTGAAATTCAATTGCGAATCAAAATAAATAAATGGCAGARTGCCCAGAGGCAAAAGAGAACTTGTTAAAAACAAGTAAGCCGGCAAAAAGCATTAGTTAAATTGAATTCATACCAAATCAAATGCCAATCGTGCACAAACGCCTTGCAATCACTTTTGCCATGTGCAACAGCAACTAAGATTTAATCACAAAAATCTTGACACTTCAATTAATTTAAAATATGATTTATAAATGTGGGATTCGTAAAAATTGCAACACCCCTGGCAGATGAACCGCAGSGAATCGGAGTAAACGTTAGTTTTTGAACTAGATCAAGAGTCGTTCTTAGAAGAAGAAGAGTCGTTATGCAGTCGTCGACTAGGAGAGTCGTGAGGCAGCCGTCAAGCAGCTAAGACGTACAACAGAATCAAGTGTCGCTAAGTAAAAGTACCGAATAAGATAAAGAAGAACAGAAGTGAAATAGAGATCACAAGAAGTGAAAAGATCATGAACACGTACAATTAATTAAATAACCTAAGTGTAACTAAAATTAATCTCTATAATAAAATACAATATAATATAATATAATTTTGTAGACATTTGTTGTAAAACTCGTTAAAGTTTAAAGTTAAAAGGAAATCGTTAAATTGACTTTTAATTTACTCAATAAATGTAAAATCCTACATAAATATTATTCTTTTTAGCTACTTCTTAAATTTGATACACTTTTCGGTACTGGGAATATATAATTTTTGTAAATCTCTCTCTTTCTTTCTCTTCTCTTTTTTGTTTCGATTGTCAGCTTTCTTTCCATCTCTACTTCTTACTTCTTACTACTTTTGATTCGATTCTCTTTCTGGTACCGTATATTTATGGTCAATTCAGCTATCAACTCTTTCTCTCTCTCTCTCTCTCTCTCTGCCTCTGTGTCTCTCTAATATATGCATTCTTTCGATTGTCATCTCTCTCCCATTGTTTTTAGAACGATTAATATGCATACCCATACTTACTATGTAGACAATTTAACCATCTCTCTTCTTTCATGTGATTCCTAACTCTCTCTTCCTCCATAACTATCTATCTATACCTTTCTCTCTTTCTATTTATCTATCTATAGCTCGCTCCTTCTTTCTCACTCTACTCTCTTTTCTGTGTACTGATTTTGATAGTAGCATTTTTGAAAATCGCATAGAAGAGCAAATCTATCGACTGGTTTTTATAATATTTATTTAGCAACATCTCTCGTAGTCTAATTTTTGATAATTTAATCCGTTGCACTTTTCCCTCTATTCGAAACAACTACCTCTTTACTGCAGAATTACTCGAATGCTAACAAATTAACAAAAACACACACACATACAAACGTAAATATGTATATGTACGATTACAAACACCGTCGACTGACATCTTTTTGTTTGGCCAGTCTATGGCACAAGTAGAGTGCAACAAATAAACCAGAATGCATATTTGTAATGCTAGAGTGAACAGTGAAATTTCTTGGATGCTCTGCACTTGGCACTTGCCAAAAGAAAACACATGAAGAGGTAATACCGGGCCAGTACTTGACCAAAAAGCACTGCATTATGCAAAAAGTAACTTTAACTTAATTTAAAAGTGCCACTGAGTGGAGGAAGTCCAGGAAAATCTCTGAGCAACAACAACAACAACAACAGCAACACCAGCAACACCACCAGCACCACCACCAAAAACAACGACAACAACAACAAACAACCATGCCGACCGCATAAAGATTGAATGCACTGCACAAAAGAAACAAATTCCAGTCTCGTGCATCCGTCCGAAGAATGCACTCGGAAATGCTCAACATACAACAAAACGAAGAAGAAGAAGMAGAAACAAAAACACCAAGCCAAGCGCAAGTGGTGAAAATCCTCGGAAAATCCATGCGGCGACGGCCGCCAAAGACAAATGTGGGTCGCAAGCGCAAAGTGCAACAACTTGCACACACACACACACACGCACACAGACAGCTAGCCACAGAGGGGCGCCGTAGAGCGAGGTGTGGCAGCGACAGATGGCGAAAAGATGCAGCTGGGAGATATGGGCACTGGGCGTGCAGCAACAAGATACCGACGACGCGCCGTTGCCGCACGCGGCACGCGGTAAAAACAACAAGAAAACTAAACCATGTTGTTGTTGTTATTGTTTTAGTTTTGTTTTTGGTTGTTGGAATTGTTGTTGTTGGTGTTTTTGTTTTTTGGCACTTGCCCTTTAGCTGGAAAATGCAGAGCCAGCCTCTTACTCAGCGCCCTGTGACTCGTTCGCTTTCTCTTTCACTCGCTCTCGCTCTATTGCTGTCTGGAGTTTGGCATGGCTCTTGCATTGCTTAAGTGAAATTTAATGATATTTTTACAGGCCAACTTGGACCGGCAACAGGTGCTGCCACTGGCCAATTTTCTTTACTCTTCGCGTCTGCCTCTGCTGCTAATTTGTTAAATTGAAGTTCTGATTATATTGTCTTGCCAATGTATTTAAAAGGTGCTAGCTGGCAAAAAAAAAAAAAAATAATAATAATTAAATGCGATGAAAACTGTTTTGAATACTTATGGCCAAATGCTCATTTATAAAGCAGCAATTAGACGTCTGCGCGGGCGTTGCTAATGATTTGTGTTAGAAGGAAATACAAATGTATAGATACCCTATCCTCAGGCGAATGGAGCACTTTACTTCTTAAGTTTAATGATTATTGAACAATAAAACGAGGTATTAGCTTAAAATCCAATTTTAAGAATCTCTTAGTCCGATCACAACAACCGAATATGTTTGGCATGTAACTCTTTTAAAAGCTAAAACTATTTGGGAATTAAATATTCAAGGGCAATGAACCAAGTGATCAAACGCTAGACAACGAAATTACACACACAATAAAAAAAACTTAACTCCGATATTTGGTTAGCTAAAGCAGTCTGGTGTTAATGGCATTTAAATATAAAATAAAT